ACCTTTGATGTTACTTCTGTTACACTCATAGTATAATGTCTTCTGTTTATTTCTATCAACAATTCTATTCATTGTATAACTTGTCTCAAATTTCTGCATGTCTTTCCATGCCTCATATTCTTGTAAATTAGAATATTCAAAAGTTATTAATTCAATACTCACCTGGTGGTTCTCCTTTAGATGTTTTCGTAAGTTCTCATGGCTTTTGAAATTAGTTTCTTGTTCACATAAGGGACAAATAATGTGACCAATTTTCTTAATCGACATATCTATGTTATGTATTCTTTTGATATGACGATTTCGTAATTCCACATTTTTTAATATTTTGCTGCAAAGATGGCAGGCTCCTGAGTTAATTTCACAACTTGTTGAAGTAGATGGATAGACATAATCCATAATTGCTTGCTAAAACAAAGTCTAAGGTAATTAAATATGGTGTTCTAACGAACAGATTTTTAAAAATAAATGAGAAAAATTTAAATTGAAATTTTCTGTGTGCTTGCTTATTGGCAAATTGGTATAAAACCGCATAATCATAGATGTTTAAGCGCCAAATGTGGCCAAACAACCGCCAAACAGAGAGATACATAACCTTGAAAAATTTAAAATCAGATGAAGATTCCGACCAATCCACAGCATAGACACCTCTTATGCTGTGACCAATCACGCCAACTTAGGAAGTGCATTATAGTCAATGACGTATAATATATAGACTCGGTGAACGCTTTAAAAAGTGTCCAAAACATGAATACCTTTGTTATTGTTTTGATACGAAGATACACGAAGTTCATGATTTCTTACGAAGCATAACGAAGTTGATCTTGTGTTTGAAAATATCATGGACGTATGAAAACATTTTATCCATTTTTTGTGACAAGCAAATTTTATTTTAAATTGTTGAGAGTTATTTACTTACTATTTTAGTAAAATGCCATACTATTGTATCAAAATAATTATTTCTCTTATAGATGGAAACAAAAAGAAATCATAAATATTTAATTTTAATTAAAAAAATAATTATTGTCATTAAGATATAAATGAGCACGCCGCTGTTATGATAAACATACCTTCAACCTTGAGCCGAGATCATTCGGACACTCGTTTCTATAGCGAGAATAGGGGACTGCGTAGTCTATATATTATACGTCATTGATTATAGTGTAGTCTGACTACTGAAGCACAGAATAATAAACAAACAGAATACCCACTCTCCACGGAAAATTAAGTACGCGCATCTCCTCCGCACAGACGTTCCGCCATGTTTTAGGAGGATTTTAAAGAATAGTGTTGTTTATGTGGTGTGCATGGAAAAATTAACCAGGTTTATTTGACTTACGGCAATCATAGACATACTATACAATTATATTAACATTGTTAAATATAATAACATAAATATAATATAATTAAACATAAATATAAACAATTACATAACCACACAAATCATATGTTTGTGTCCTCCTAAAACATGGCGCGCGTGCTGTAAAACTTCAAAGGCGGCATCTGAGAGTGGATCTTCTGATTGTTTATTATTCTGTGACTGAAGGGTTAATAATGATATAATAATGAATGCTTATTTTAATAATTAGACAACAATGTAAATAGGTAATTGTAATCTACTAATTAATTGTAATGAATGTAGTAAAAAAGTAAAATACTATTCCTTAGAATTATGAAAATAATAAATGACCAAATGTTTTTCAAAATTTTCCAATAAAAGTTAAGTATGGCTTCGATCTGTGTACCTACATATTATTTTTTGTAAATTGAGAAACTTCTTTTGATGAGATTTTTTCTGATTGAGATAAACGGATTTAATGGGAGTATATTTTAAATTCACAAAAATATTTGTTTCTAAATATATTTCTTCGCAAAAATTACCAACAAGAACGTCAGGTACCTCAGTAAGTTTCTGAAAATCATAGTTTTTTTGAATTACTGTTTGAAATTTTTGAAAAACGTCTTTTTCAGTCACTTTTAACATTTTGACAATCTGATTTAATTTTTTTTTATTTCTAATTGAGAAATAGTTTTTTGAAGCAAACTAAAATTTGATTTAATTAATGAAATTTTTTAAAAACTAAAAAATTTAATTACTATTTAACTGGGAATAAGCCACAATTAAAGATAAAAATACGTTTATTGACGTTTCAATTTCCACTTCGGAAATCGTTCTCAAAATACAAACAGTAAATTAAACAAATTTTGTTTTTTGTTACATAGTGAAAAATTCTTCTAATAATTTAATTTTATCTGACTCATTTATATTGACAATTCAGACATACATTATGCATTTTAACGTTTCCATTACATTATGCATTAGTTTTAATTTTATCTGACTCATTTATATTGACAATTCCTCTTTTCTTATTAGGTGTTTCGTCAACACACACGTAGAAGTAATTGTCACTAATATTAGTTTTTATATTATCTATTACTGACGAGTATAACGAGTTGACATGGTTTCTCCTTAGAGTCCTTTCACTTGGAATATTCAATGTATAATATTTTATTAAAAAAGAAGTTAAGTTTTCGTTGGATAATTTTTGAAAGCGCTATATTTGAAGAGATTAATGCGCGGCACAAGTCTTCATTAAAAGTATCTTGTTCGTTTCCTTCTTTCGAACTTGACCGAAAAGACTTGCTATTTTTCTTCAGATTTCGGTTTGTCTTTTTTGGGTAAATGTGAAGCTTTTCTAACATGTTGATCTATCTGAAATTTCAATTCGCATACAACCTGTAATAGGTTTTTTAATATACTACAATTAGAACCGATTTTTTTTTATATAATCTTAAACTAGAGGCATTAATAGAATAAATTCTATTCAAGTATCTGCACAATGATTGCATGGCAGTGATTGATATTTCAGCAATAGTTTCAGCAAAATATTTATTTTATAATAAAATATACATAAATAGGTATTTGTATTACATTTAAATTTAATTATATTATTGCCATTTTATTAGCGTTAATTTATGCAATCATTAAAATATTTTAAATAACATATCAAATATAAAACAGTATAGGTTATTCCACGAATATACGACTGTTTGGAATTATTGCTACAACGAATATTTTACTGTACAAGTAGAAGTATGAAAGTAAATTGGTCTAATTATTATTCCATAAAAAAGGATCTTCTGTTACTATTATATATAAACTAAAATTATTTCAGTTAGTAGATGTTCAGATAGACGCAAAATTTATTGTGAAAATTAATCCGAAAATAACAAAAAAATTTACGTTAAAAGTGTTAAAAAGTTAAAATGTGTTCATCAGCCATTTGGGTTGGATTTCGGTGAAATGTAAACACCAAAGAGGCGCGCCGGGTATCTTTATTACTTTATTAGGTCTATAACGAAAATAAAAAGAAATATAATATTTTTAATATAAATAAAATGAAATTGGCAGAACGATGGTTCAGAAACCAGGAAAAGAATCTAGTATTCCACTTTGTTAGTTTTTTGTTTGCTTTGAGTGGATATACTCTTAAAAGTTCCGAAAGTAACGGGTGTAACATGGCGGCTATTGATAGTTAAAGTACCGAGTCATTACAGATATTAAAAAGTAACGAAAATTTACATACAGTTTCATAAATCGCCGACTGATTTTAGTTTTAAAAACAGTCCGTATAGAGGTGTCCGGTGAAGAGACGTGTCCGTTAAGAGAGAGTTTAGTGTAGTGTATTTGTTTGTAATGGTGATTAGGAGAATAAGAGTAAGAGTAAGTTTTTTTGATTTTTTAATACTAATTGAATATTCGACTAAATAAATTAAACTATTTAATCACTTAAGTATTGTTACACTTTGTTTAAATCACTTAATGTAAAAACCAACTTGTTTACAATACTAAAGTCAATGAGAGTAATTATACGAGTATACTTCAAAATCTGAATTACAACTATTCTATAAACTATCAATTCTATATTTAGATCATATTTAAATCTAAGGTGTATATCTCTCATAACAGTATTTTAAAAATGGGGAGAATTTACCATTGTACAATTCAGCACATTGGACCATTTAAGTCGACACCTTAAAGCGAATTTAAAACAGTCGTATATTCGTGGAATGGAGTATATTCAATGTTTAGTACTTACAATTTTGCTACAAACTGAACAATAAACTTTGTCTATATCTAAGCTTTTTGTAAGGTTTAATCCAAGTAGCGACATTAGTTATTTTCGGCATTTTAAAATGAAAATAGTTAACAAATTAAACAAGCTTGACTGACGATGCATACGTTTTCAATTTCACTTTTGAAAATAAAATGCTTTCCAAAAGGACAATCCTATTCGTACCCCACGCAGTTAACTTTTGAAACACCCTTTTATTACGGGATTATAATCGGTTATCTTCTACAGCAATACCAAGAATATTAGGTAGTATCTGTAGGTACTATCGGTAATATATAAAACAAACATTGGAATTTCCAGTTACTGAGTCATACCATTATCTACGGTTAGATAAATATTGTTTAAAATCCGCAATTCGAAATAAATTGACCTTTATGAATTTTATGCAATTTTTTTGAATAAATATGCAAATTCCGGAGATATTCGAATAAAATATGCACTATATGCATTTTGCATATTTGCTTAAGTATAATTATTAGTTAACTGATGTAGTCTTTAAACATTTAAAGAGTGATTAATTCAAGTCTTATTGTTCAGAAAATAAGTTGTGCAAATTTTTATGATCTATGAATATTTTAAAGCTGACGTGAATAATTGTGTAGGTGTTACTGAAAACATCTTGAAGAGAGCTTTCAAATGAAGTATTATTTTCCATATAATCTTACGTTAGAGGTTTTTCCAAAATGTGGCTAATCCAGCATTAAAAAAATATGTCTTTAGAATGTCCATTATTTTATGAACATGTCGATTAGTTTGTTATATAAAAATTTATTGAATTTTTAATTTTTTTGGCTCAGAAAAAATATGTTGTGGTTTAGACCTGCATTGTATATAATCGAAGTTTAACATGCCTGATTTTGATTTTAGCGCCACTAGAACTCAAGATAAACCGAGATGTCGAGGAAACTACAACTCTGCAATCGTTGGATGGTATGACCTTGTTTCTATTATTTAAAATTAACTTTTAAAATGAATTTGTGCTGTTAAATAACCCTACTTATGCATATTTTTTTCGAAAGTTGTGTACAATCATACTAATTTTCACCTTATCTAATAGGCTAGTAACTTGGGCGGAAAATAAGACCTTACCTCCCATTTCTTTCGGACTGTATAGATTTAGCTGAAAATGTGTATTTAATTAAGCGATCTAATTAAGCGATCAGCATAAAACTTGAAGTCACTTCTAGTGGTATAGTAAAACCTCCCTTAACCGAAACCTTTTTAATCGAAACATCGTTTAACCGAAACGGTTGACAGTTTCAATAATTTCGTCAATAAAAAGTAAATTTTTATCGTAAAATGTAAATTACATTAATTTCACTCACCGATTGATGCCTATGTGTGTTTGGAAATCAAAAAAACCAAGAGCTCTAAAAGATATTTGGAAAAAGCACTTCCAGTTTTTTTATAGAAACCAAAAAAGCTCATGGATGTCGACCACTTTATTTTCAGAATGGTTCAAAAATGAATTCGTCCCAAGCGTAAAATCCTTTTTAAAATTAAAAAACCTTCCCACCAAAGCATTGTTGCTTGTTGACCCAAAATCTATACAATAGTAATAATTGTCAGATAATTTTTGCCACCGAATGCCACGAGCTTAATTCAGCTGTTAGACCAGGGAGTAATAGAGACATTCGAGAGACATTATAGAATTCCTCAAATGTTCAACAATGAAACATGTTGTTTATCGGTGGGCAGAGTTCTGGGCCAAGATCAAATCTTCAACTTTGGAAAAATGCTGTAACTAACTTTTTGATAGAATTTTGATTGACGATCCTAAAGAAGAAAATGACAAAGAAACGACAGAAGGAATTAAACCTTTAATAAAAAATTTGCCAGGATGTAACAAAATTAACTAAGAAGAGATACGTGAGTGGTTAGCAGCCGATAACTCAGAAAGTGAATTCATCGACCAGGACATCATTGATATGATTCTTCATCCAGACAACCTGAGCGTATCAGACGACGATGACAACCCAACAGACAACAGGCAGGATGAGACCGCCGAAGAGATTTTCAATGCTTTAAGGATATGAATTTTATACAGTAGGCCTAATTAGTTAGGGACACGATTAGGTTCTTAATTTTTGTTGTCATTGTATAAAGTTTTGTCCTTTTCAGATTGCTTTACGTTTCGTCGAACGATGAAATGAGGCAAACTCACGATGTTCTGCAAATTGTTAAACTTGTTCATTTTCCTTAATATTATTACTTTATTCTGTATTTACTTATTAGAAAACATTACGAAAGTTAGTATTAGACATTAGTATTTTTTAATACCAATACTTACCAAAAATACTATAAAAAACAATGTTATTTTTAACCGAAATTCTTGTTATCCGAAACGGCCCCCCCCCCAATTATTTCGATTAACGGAGGTTTTACTGTATTTCTAAAAAATATAATATTCACATTAAAGTTGTTCCATGAAAAAAAAATGTTTTCAAGAAATGGAGATACGCAAATAATGCAAAATAAAGTAGAGTCCACTGATTATAGAGTGGCTCATGTGAGAAATTATATCTGCACCTAGTGCATAGGTCCACCCAAGATGTAGTATTTGAAAACAAAAAAAAATTAAAATTATATATTGGCTAAAATTTAGTGACGATGATTAAAATATTCTGAAAAGGGACATATTATTATAATGAATATTAAAATTTCTTTTTCGTTAAAAATCGTTAAAACCAAAGAATTGCTACTTCCGATAAAAATCCTTTAAAATCAACCGATACAGATGGAAGACATAAAATTTCAAGTTTCGTATAATACTCAAATGATTTTATTTAGAGAAGATAATATATTGATTGTAAAACCCGACATCCAATATAACAATTTACTAAGTATTAGATAATATTAAAGCGAAGTTTCTAGCTCCTATACTATCTATACTGGCGTTGTCTTAATTTTTCTCTACAGTAAAATGCTGCGGCTATCGTCATGGAATTAGCTAGACGAAATAGTTGGAAGAGTCCATTTACTTAACAAGTAGGTCCGAAATCTAACATGTAACATGTAATCTAATAGTTCTAATAGCGGTTTCATGTACTATGAAATTTACAAAAAATTGTTACAATAAATTAATAAACTTTGTAAATCGACGATTGTAAAAAAATCTTACAACAAAAAAATAATAAGTAAATAATTATAAAAATATTATTGAAAATTTAAAAATACAGAAACACAGTATGAAGCTTTTCGCTAGTCTATCACCTATTGTTTATTATAAGGTGTCTAATGTCATTATCAAACGGTAAATTTGCGTAATTACGAATTTATGAATTTATCCAACGTGTAAACACCATCGAGTTAGAATCTATGGAGAGGGCATCACGTGACTAAAAACGACCTCGCTTCGGCCATATTGTTAAGATTGTTTTGACAGATCGTATATGTTTGTTTACGTTTGTTGTTTTTCGAATATTTTTAGTTTTATAATACTTTTATAGAAACTGTAATAATATATTATGATAGTGCATAATAATTGTTTTTTGTTCTCAACGTAGTTGCAGTATATATATATATATATATATATATATATATATATATATATATATATATAAATATATATATATATATATATATATATATATATATATATATATATATATATATAGATAATATTAAATATAGGAGAAACGAAGGTAATCTAAATTGAACTTAAATAGTGATTAAAGAAATAATTTATAAGTTATATACTAGAGAATATTATAAAACGTATCTATATGAGGGTATTCTTAAGAAATTAGCATAATAAGTTTAAAAAGTTTTTTTAATAATTATCATATTATAGATGTATTTGGGTGCACCATGTGCATAGGCAACCAAATATAAACTATATTATGATATTTGTAAATAATAGTGAATTTGAACAGAAAGTAGATATTTAAAATGATAATTACGGATTTCAAATAGTGTTATTTATTTATTTAAGATTAATTATTTTATTTATTTAAGATTAATTATTTTATTTAAGATTAATTAAGTTTAATTACATCTAAGTTTACATTCTGATCTGGAAAGCCTAAATGTCCATACAATTTTCCATAGAAAGTTAAGAATTATCTGAACATTCGAATAAGACGTCAATAGAAGGAAGTTAACCTTATTTGCGTAGTAGAATATTCGAGAACATTCAAATATCTATGAAATAGAAGGATTCGAATATGAATTCTTTCAAGATGATTCTGAAACATTGAAATGATATAAGTACTCGGTAATTTCGAGGAGAAAGGACAGTAGGAATTCATTAGTTGATTAGTCATTAGTCAGTATGGTCAGTATTAGTGTATTAATATAAAGGACAGTATGGAGTTAATTCATTAATAAGTTAGTAATAAGCAGTTCATTAGTAGATAGTATACAGTGGTCAGTATTAGAGTATTAATTATGCAGTACAGTATGCAATAATCAGTGATTCAAAGTTTTATAGTATTAAATGTGTATTACATGGAGATTGAAAAAAATTGTATTAAGAGAGTATTAATTGGAAAGTAAAAATTATATTATGTATATGGATATTAGAAGAAATTAAAATTATAATATTTATATAGTGATTGGAGATTGGAAGAGAAGAGAAGAGAAGAAAAAATAAGATTATAAGAAAGAAGATTTTTAAAAAGAAAAATAAACAAAAAAGAAGAATATTTTGTCCATTTATAAATGCTATTAAGAAGAAAAATATTTTATATTGGTAGAAGCTGATAATTAAAACATTGTGGTGTATTTGGAAAAAGCAATTTCACAAAAACAAGGATAACCGCGGCTGATAACGAAGATATTAAGTGGTGATTAAACTCTTTTTTTAAAGATTTTTATCTTTATTGACACGGCCTTTAGATGGTCAAATATTTGATCCAACTAGTTTGACCAAACCAAAAAATTTACAGCATATGACGTCACATCCTGAGTTTGATCAAATCCTCTAAAAATTGAGGATCTTCTATTTTCAAGTCAGTTTGATCAAACATTGATGATGAAAAATATCTAAAGTCAAATGACAATCAGCAGTTAGACATAACGTATTTAAATTAATTTTCTTTTTTTCTTTGGTTGACTGTGTGTGGTTTACTTGTCATCCTATTTTGTTATAAAATAAAAAATTTAAATATATTTAAATATCAGCCAGGAACAAGCCAAGAAAGAAGCTGTTTATATAAACAGCTTATTTCCATATAAACATCCATATTATTATAAAAATCCTTTCACCCTATTTATTTTCTTTGTGTATAAGAAAAATTCGAATCGTAAATAAAGCCCAAGCAACTAATAAAATAAGCAAAAAAGATAATTAATGTTCTTAACATAAGTCAATTTGATCAAATATTTGAATGATCGTGTGAGAGGTAGATTTTTAAAATTTGAACAAACTGTAATTATGAAGTCATTACGTCAGTTTTGCTCAAACTAGTTTGATCAAATTTTTGACCGTCTGACATGAGCCACATAACTCCACCGTCAACATATATGAAGTCCTTAACATAGTCAGATTTAGTGATTGACATTTGACTTGTGACATGACGGATTCTTTTGTTTTTTTTATGTTTTATGTTGTTTGACTTGTTGATTTTGATTTTTGATTTGTTCATGCGCATGCGTTGATGGTTTGATTTTCAAATGTTAAAATAATTGCATTTTTTTTCAAAAACTATTAAGACGGGAGATTTAGGTAATATAAGCGATCTTTTTTTTATCATTTGTTATGAGTATATCTCAAATTCACGTGGTTTAATTTTATAGTTCCACCCAGAAGGCTGATTCGCCTGGCAAAAAGGAGACCTATACAATCAGAAACAGTGCAAGGTGAGTTCGACAATTCAGTAATTACTTAATAAATGCTACAATATATGTGCCTATTTATAAATTTTCAGACATGAAGACATCAATAGAACTAGGTGAATGATAAGTAAACAGCTACCTGCGTATGATAATTTTTAATACAGTACTAGGAATAATAAAAAAAAAACAGGAATTTACAAATTAATTACACAGAAACAACAGTAAATTACAAAAAAGAAACAAAATTTAGACAAACTATTAAAAACTCCTTGAAGAAATAAGTGAAAATAGAAACAATAACACTGTACATACAAACAATAAACTTCATAAACAAAAACATTATCACAAATCAGCTCTTAAGTAATAGCATATGCATATGACCTGGTCATCATAGCAAAAAACGATAACACCCCTAAGAACAATTTAATAGTTAGGTAAAGAAGCGAAGATAATACAGCTAGAGATAAACCAACACAAAACAAAGTACATGAAATTATGGAAAAACTACACTGCAACACAGAAATATCTAATTATGTGGAAGTATAAATTTGAAGCAGAATAGACTTTATGCTACCTGATAGTGACAATAGGAAAAACCAGAAAAGAGAACAGATCAAAGGATTTTAAAATGCAAAAAGCCTATGAAATGGACAGAAATCTTCTGAGAGGAGCAAGGTGGCTTGATAATGTAGAAGATACAAGAACAATGAATATTTAGCACTAGAAAGTTCAATGTAAATATAGGAAAATATGTAAAAGAGTCACTACATCAACAACAAATTAAGCAAATTATAAATTAAAAGAAGAGTAATCCACCTAGAATACTTAAGATTTTCAAAAGGTCTTTTGTTAGCTGTTATCTGTAATCTCCAAAGATTGCTAGGCTTTGACGATGATTATATATCTATACTACGTTCCACGTTTAGAAAATAACATTGCGGAGATAGGACCATGTATTTCTTATGGACGATAGCAGCGCGGCGTTGCCACGACACACACAAGCACAATTTAGGGTTGTATAATTTGTATTTTTGTTTCCACAAACATGAATTAAATTAATGTTTTTTAACGTAATTGACCAAAAGTGCCCATTCGAAACAAGAGATGAAAAGTATGGAAAATGATTTTAATTAGATAAATAGTATTTACAAAAGATAATTTTATTTTATCTTATTTTAATTATAGTAACGACAGTTTATTTGTTTTTCGGTGAGAATACGATATGCCATGAATCATAAAAATCAGTAGAAAATATTGACCGCTTGGAATGCGTACATCTAATTACTAATTACAACTTAAAATAATACGATGTGCGTATGTCAGCTATTTTATGTCGTTCTCTGACTACATAATGATAATAAGGCTTTTATTTAGTAGTTATTCTGACTTTACAGTTAAGTGTTAATTGAAAATGAAAATTCAAAAATTAAGCAAAGGGAATATCTTGGACATCCGTGCAAAAGAGAGTGTCTGAGAGTTTTGGCAACACTGATCTCCATAAGCGTAATGTTATTTTCTTAACTTGAAACAAAGAATAGCTAGTTGTTCTCTTTTCATTTTCAGTCACACAGCATCAAATTTAACAAAAAAATTACAAATTTTCATTACATAATCTCAAACTTCTTCAGCATTCAATCACTGTATGGCTGTTATATAGATCACACATCGAAAGTATCTCACCATTCTGAACCATAATATGTAATGATATTCATGGTATAGCTGGAAAGATTCTTCTAGACAGAGAAACATAAGTTATACATAGTACATGTGGGGTAGATGATGTTAACAATTGGGTGCTAAACAGGAAAAAGAGTGTAATGAATATATTAGCAGAATGTTAGTAAGAAGAATGATCAGAATTGCTCAAAATAAATCACCAATTGGACAGAAAAGTATAGACAGACCCCGAAAAAGTCTTGAAAATGTTTTAAAACATATCCTGATCATTTGATATGAATACAACATTTCAGTACAAGTACATTTCAATTACAAGGCCACCTATGATACAATAGGCAGGAACAAATTAATAGAACCGCAAAAAAATCCAAATTCTAGAAAAAATAGTAAGATTGTTAAAAACGACAATTAGAAAAACCATTTATGCTGTGAAATGCAATGGTACAGTCTCAGAAGAATTCTATGTTCCAGTTCATCAAGGACACCCCTTATCTAACTTGCTATTTAATATAGTTCTAGAAAAAATTGGATAATTTTTATTATATATATTTATAATAAGAAAAATTTATTGGGATAAATAGGTCAGGTACTCCTTTCTAAATAGAACACCAATGCTTAGTGTTCACTGATGATGTAGTTCATATTGCAAGAAATGGAAAAGAACTGGCAAGTATAGCAACAAGACTGATTCAGGAACGCTACAAAATGAGACTGCAAGTTAATATTAATAAATCCAAGTACATGGAAATCTTAAGTAAAAACGGAAATAACACTAGAGGCTCCTTTAAATTAGAGATGAAGGATGGAGTAGTTATAGCATTCGAGAAGGTGGGTGAATATATGTACTTAATTGCCCTTATTAACCAGACATGTATGGACGAAATTAAAATTCTAGAAAGAATGCAAGGTAATAGACAAGTCATGAAAATTGGTTGGAGAGTGCCTGAGGGTAAAAAGGAAAGAGGAAGACCAAGAATAAAATAAAGAAATGTAGTGACGCAAGATGTCAGAGAGATGGGAAATAAGAGATTGAAAACCGATAGCTAAGAACAGAAAACAATGGAAATTATTCATCCAGCAATGGACCTAAAAGGCATGTTAACACTATATATACAAATAAGGTATTAAGTTCTAACAGCATCAAATTTAACATAAGAATTATAAATTTTTCATGTATATAATCATCACATAACCTCAAATTTCTTCAGCACTCGAATCACTGTCTGGCTGTTAAATAGATCACACATTACCATATTTTCTGAACCATAATATGTAATGAACTTCATGGCATAGCTGAAAGACTCTTGTAGACATGGAAACAAGTGAAAATATAAGGAATACATCTGAGGTACATGATATTAATGGTGGGGTGCTGAACAGGAAAAAGGAGTGGAATGAAAATATTAGCACAATGGTAAAAAGAAGAATTGCGAGAATTGATCTAGATAAATCACCAATAGAACAGAGAACTATAAGCAGACCCCAAAAAAGGTAGAGCGACAATGATGGTGAATTAAGTCTAAATAGGTGATTCGCCTAGTATAAAGAAGGAAGAATAATATGTAACTAATATGTATTATTCTTAGGTTATTAAACTAAGCATGTCTTCATTATTTTTAGGATATTTCAGTGATATCATATTTAAATGTACCATAGAAGCAACATTTTGTATGATAATTTTGGAATTATATAGTAAGTAATACTTCATGCGAATGCATTTATTAAGTTCTTTTCTAAGATACCTTAGTAATGATCGATTTCAGCACAAAAAGAATCATTGATTTAATAATTATGAATATTAGTAGACTTTAGGTAGACTTAATTGCTATTAGGCAAATATCGAAAAAAAAAGTGAAAAATATGCACTAAATTACCCAAAAATATGCATTAAATAGGTATTTCTTTTATAAACTGTGCAATACATATGCATTTTTTAGAAAATATGCATACTGTCAATGGAAACATATATTTAATAATGGTATAATAATTAATGCTTATTTTAATAATTAGAAAACAATGTAAATAAATTTAAAAACTAAGTAAGTAATTGTAATCTATTAATTAATTGTAATGAAAGTAGTAAAATAGTAAAATAATATTCCTTAGAATTATGAAAACAATAAATGACCAAATGTTTTTCAAAATTTTCCAATAAAAGTTAAGTATGGCTTCGATCTGTGTACATATTATTTTTTGTAAATTGAGAAACTTCTTTTGATGAGATTTATTCTGATTGAGACAAACGGATTTGATGGGAGTATATTTTAAATTCACAAAAATATTTGTTTCTTAATCTATTTCTTCGCAAAAATTACCAACAAGAACGTCAGGTATCTCAGTAAGTTTCTGAAAATCATTATATTTTTGAATTACTGTTTGAAATTTTTGAAAAACGTCTTTTTCAGTGCCACTTTTAACATTTTGACAAGCTGATTTAATTTTTTTATATTTCTAATTGAGAAATAGTTTTTTGAAGCAAACTAAAATTTGATTTAATCAATGAAAATTTTTAAAAATTTGTTTAGCATCCAGCAGAGATTGGGAACTTTCATCCGTTAAAGCGTCAATTACATTTTTTAAATCTATGAAATAGTCTGAATAGAAAAAAGCGGCTTCCCAACCATATTCTCCATCATGTTAGAACGGGTTCTGGTGGAAGTGAAATATTCGTTTCAATTCATTCCATGTGGTAAACAAGTAACGTGTATTAAGTTGGTATAAAATATTTTTAAATTTTGTCCTGCCTTGACCATATAGGTATGCTGCAGCATCGGATAAAAAAAGCAATAATTTATGACTAGGAATAGCTGGAGGAAGAACAATTTGTGATATTTTTTTTTGTACAAAACGTAATATTACTACAGAGTTGATTTTTTCTAATTGCATGCATGGCATTAAATAGGATTTTTGTAAGATCAAATCACTGGAAACACCAATCATTAAATGAGCGATATATATTCCTGACGAATCAGTTGTTTCGTCAACATACACGTAGAAGTAATTGTCACTAATATTAGTTTTTATATTATCTAATACTGACGAGTATAACGAGTTGACATGGTTTCTCTTTAGAGTCCATTCACTTTTAATATTCAATTTACAATATTTTTTTAAAAAAGAAGTTAAGTTTTCGTTGGATAATTTTGAAAGCGCTATATTTGAAGAGATTATTGCGCGGCACAAGTCTTGATTAAAAGTATCTTGTTCGTTTCTTTCTTTCGAACTTGACCGAAAAGACTTAGACACCGAAGCTTCCTATTTTTCTTCAGATTTCGGTTTGTCTTTTTTGGGTAAATGTGAAGTTTTTCTAACATGTTGATCCATCTGAAATTTAATGTCGCATACAACCTGTAATAGGTTTTTTAATATAAATAACTACAATTAGAACCGATTTTTTTAGAATCCTAAACTAGAGGCATTAATAAAATAAATTCTCTTCAGTATCTGCACAATGATTGCATGGCAGTCACTGATATTTCAGCAATAGTTAAAATATTTATTTTATAATAAAATATTCACAAATAGGTATCTGTGTTATATTTAAATTTAATTATATTATTGCCATTTTATTAACGTTAATTTATGCAATCATTAAAATATTTTAAATAACATCAAATATAAAAAAGTATTCAATGTTTACTACTTACAATTTTGCTACAAACTGAACAATAAACTTTGTCTATATCTAAGCTTTTTGTAAGGTTTAAAATGAAAATAGTTAACAAATTAAACAAGCTCGACTGACGATGCATAAGTTTTCAATTTCACTTTTGAAAATACAATGATTTCCAAAAGGAAATAACTATTCGTACCCCACGCAATTAACTTTTGAAACACCCTTTTTTTTACGGGATTCTAATCGGTTATATTCTACAGCAATACCAAGAATATTAGGTATTATCTGTAGGTACTATCAGTAATATTGAAATAAAACAAACATTAGAATTTCCAGTTATTGATTCATACGGTTATCATCTACGGATAGCTAAAAAATTATCTAAGTTAGCTACAGTCATCTACGGTTAGCTAAATATTGTTGAAAATCCGCAATTCGAAATAAATTGACCTTTATGAATTTTATGCAATTTTTTGTATAACTATGCAAATTCCGGAGATATTTGAATAAAATATGCAATATATTCATTTTGCATATTTGCTTAAGTCTAATTATTAGTTAACTCATGTAGTCTTTAAACGTTTAAAGAGTGACTAATTCAAGTCGTATTGTTCAGAAAATAAGTTGTGCGAATTTTGATGATATATGAATATTTCGAAGTTGACGTGAATAATTGTGTAGGTGTTACTGAAAACATCTTGAAGAGAGCTTTCAAATGAAGTATTATTTTCCATATAATCTTACGTTAAAGTTTTTTCCAAAATGGGGCTAATCCAGCATTAAAAAAATATTATGTCTCTAGAATGTCCATTATTTTATGAACATGTCTATTAGTTTGTCATACAAAAATTTATCGAATTTTTAATTTTTTTGGCTCAGAAAAAATATGTTGTGGTTTAGACCTACATTGTATACAATCGAAGTTTAACATGCCTGGTTTTGATTTTAGCGCCACTAGAACTCAAGATAAATCGAGATGTCGGGGAAACTACAACTCTGCAATCGTTGGATGGTATGACCTTGTTCCTATTATTTAAAATTAACTTTTAAAATTAATTTGTGCTGTTAAATAACCCTACTTATCCATATTTTTTTCGAAAGTTGTGTACAATAATACTAATTTTCACCTTATCTAATAGTCTAGTAACTTGGGTGGAAAATAAGACCTTACCTCTCATTCTGTCGTACTGCTTTAGCTGAAAATGTGTATTTAAGGCATGAAAATCTGATTGAATTAAGTCTTCTTCTTCTTGCAGTACCGTCTCCTATCGGAGGTTGGCTACCATCACAGCAATCTTTACTTTGTTGGCTGCAGCTCTGAACAACTGTATTGAACTGCACCCATACCACTCCCTTAAATTTCGCAACCAGGAAATCCTCCTGCGTCCCACATTTCTCTTTCCCGAGATTTTTCCTTGGATTATGAGTCTAAGCAGAGAGTACTTTTCTCCTCTCATTATGTGGCCCAGATATTCCAGTTTTTTCGTTTGTATGGTTTTTATGACTTCGCATTCCTTCCCCATCCTCAGCAGTAAAATAAACATATTCAATAATAGTTTGTACTTTAATACAAATTTTCAACCGTTAGAAACCACCGCTTATGACGTAAATACCGGTAACAAATAATTTTTGACGATGTAAAATGCTTAATTTATGAAGTAAAATCAATAACAATTCATTCATCGCCTGTGAAATGATGTTTCATTGGTTTCAAGTTTTTAACCCTTAAAAAGCAACCCTTTAAACAAACAATACATAAAAACCCATTTATAGTTTAAAATGTTTTATTTTCCATTTAGCACCATTATTACACCATAGATATCTAAAATTTCATTCCTTGTTTCAACCCCTAAAAATCATCCGTAAAGACGACTACAATGTTAAAAATAGTTTTATTTTCAAATTAGATAGGTTCCGGCGCCAATTGTACCTTTAACTCTGTTTCAAGTAGCTAGTGTCGATGTACACTAGCCCAGGGGGACCGACCGTTTAACGTGCCCCCCGAAGCACGGTGAACGGCTCGTATCATTTTTAGAAATGAAAATGTTGTTGGTGCCGAGATATTCATCTAAAAAACTATTATGCGTACTTTAGATATGTGAGAGCTTCAAAACACATATATTTTTCATCATCCAAAATTATCTCTCAAAAATATCATTATCATATCATTTTTTTTTCAATAAGTCAGTTAATTTTCAAGCTTTGATATATTTATACATAGTCATTTAAAAGCTATTTTCAATGGCTACAAGTCTAGATTCATTAGAACTACCCTTCAATTTTGAAAAATTACAGTTTGAAGCAGTAGAGACAGTGGCTGTTCACACCAAGACATCCATTTTAATCAGTGATATCTCCATTGTTTTATGGTACAGAAGTTTATAACAAACGAGAATATGTATTAAAAAACAAATACATTTTTGTATTCTATCCTCTATCATTTTTTACGTATAGATTATACACTCGGCCAAAATTAACCGGCCACCTTAAAAATGGGTAATTTTTGATTTCTTATATCTCCTAAACCTGTTGTCCAATTTAAGTGATTTTTTTAATATGTTATAGCTTTATTCCTTGACAATATCTTTATAATAATATTGTTGCTAGACAGGTAAATTTTCATTGTATACTGGGTATACGAATCAAACTGTGTTTTTTCTTAAAGTTTACATTACCCTGTGGAATATTCTAGCACTTGTAGAATACTGAAATTAAATCTTAACTATAGCCTCATGCTTTCTCAAAATTTTGTTTTTTTATTGATTCGCTTATGTTGGTAATACAAAAGTTAGGTGCTTTAACAACTAGACATGTTTTTTTATCAATTTTTAGGTCCGCGGAAGAAAAAAAATAATCTTTTTGAAAAAAAAGTCATTTGTTACAGTAAAAATCCAATGAAGAAAATCTTAGATGAAAATTCAAATTAAAAACATTTTACAAATCAAAGTCTAATTGAAAAAAAAAAATGGATATCAATAATGGGTGTTGCCGCCTCTAGTCCTTCTAGACTTCTTAGAGCCGGTTTGGCAATCCATTCATGATATCCTGGATATCAGATTGGGGGATATTGTGCCACTCCTTTACCGCAGCTGTCTTCAGCTCTTCAAAGGATGCAGGGGCTGGTACTCTTGCTCTTACCCGTCTTTTGAGGTTGTCCCAGATATGCTCAATTGTGTTAAGATCGAGACTGTGTGCAGGCCATGGTAGAACTTGAATTCCGACCTCATTAAGGTACTCAAGGGTAGATCTTGCTGTATGGCAACGTGCATTGTCATTAGTCTGAAGTTATCACCAATGAATGGTGCAAAAGGCATGACATGGTCTTGGAGAACTTCTTGCACGTATACTTGGGCATTCACACTACCTATACCGAACACAACAAGTACGCGCTTCGTAAGAAAAACTCCCCAAATTATTATTGACCCTCCTCGGTAAGCCACTGTTTCGGTTATAGTTATAGCGCATGCAACAAACCTTTCATTTTGACGCCTATACTGCTCTCATCTGAGAACAGTATATTCTTCCATTCCGCCATAGTCCAGTAAGCATATTCTCGCGCAAAATGAAATCCATCCCTAGGGTGTTGTGGGAGCAGTTGTGGTGCGCGAGCTGGACGAAAAGCCCTCAAGTTTATTTCTGACAGTCTTCTTTTACTCTTTGTCTACTCACACTAACGTTTTTCACCTCAAGAAGAGACCTACGAGCTTCAGGAGCGGTGGAAAAGCGATTTCTCAATACTTTAGTGACAATGAAGCGGTCATCTCGAAATGAAGTGCATCGTTTTCGGCCTTGACCTGACCTGTGGTTGTGCGATCCTGTCTCCCGAAATCGTCTGATGGCATCTTGTACCTGTACCGTATCGGTTCATCGAGTATACCAGCGATATGACGTTTACTGTAACCAGCATCAACTAAAGTCACTGCTCTAGCAGCGTCAGTTGGAACGAGTGGCATTTTTAAAATCACAAACAATAAATAAGAACTAAAATTTCAACTTCGCAAACTTCAAATACTCGCTCACAATGATGTAAAATTACAATTTTAATTACAAATTGTTCAAGAATTGTTATTAACACGGAAACAGATTTGCAACAATGTCGTACAACGACTAGATGTTAAAAATCCTTCGATGATACAAATTTAGGAAACAAACTGTCACAAGTAATGTAAATAAAACAATAATGAAGGTGGTGGGGTTAATTTTGCTGGTGAGTTAAATCGTCTGTATTGATGAAAAACATGGATAGTTGTTTAAACTACCTAACTTTTGTATTATCCAACATAGGCGAATGAATCAAAAAACAAAATGTTGAGAAAAAATGAGGCTATAGTTAGGTTTTAATTTTAGTATTCTACAAGTGCTAGAATATTCCACAGGGTGATGCAAACTTTAAGAAAAAACACAGTTTAATTTGTACACCAGGTATACAATGAAAATTTACCTGTTTAGCAACCATATTATTATAACGATATTGTCAAGGAATAAGGCTATAACATTTTAAAAAAATCACTTAAATCGGACATGTCTAGGAGATATAAGACATCAAAAATTACCCATTTTTAAGGTAACCGGTTAATTTTGGCCCAGAGTGTATTTTTTAAGATTATTTAAAAAAAAAAAAACAATTCTTTAGAAATTTTCAAAATAGACGATACAATTTAATACAACTTTTTTGAAAAATAATGCATTTGAAACCAGTCAAACTCCTGAATTTAATGAAGAACACTAAACTAAAATGTAATGTAAAAGGAAAACGATTAATTTTGATTCTGGTGGATCTTAGATTAATTATACTGCCCCTTTTTCTTTAAAATATTCGAAGGGTCCATCTTTTACGAGCTGTAACTTACTCAATTTACACACAGATTACTTCTTGTAGTGCTTATTTTAAAGATCTTTTAACTATCTCTGAACTATAAAAAACTTTCATATCATTGCCCCCAAAAAATCAACCTTTTCCTTACAATTTAACTTTGAGTACATTGTACATCCAAATATTCGTAAAAAAATTTCTCCTTTTACCGACCATATCTCACTTTGGATTGTATATAGAATATCTTGTAAAAAATGAATCATATTCTTATTTTATAAGCTTTATTTTTGTTTTGCATACGTTTTTAATCAGGCACATTTTTGAGTTATTCATGAAAAACGGGTATATGTATTATTTACGACCGAACTAACTACTGATCAAAATAAGGTACCAAATGTTTACAGTGCATTACATACTCAAGATACATCGACAGAGGAAACTTCTACACCAAAGGTATAAGTTCATCATTAAATACGTCTGTTAAGAGTTTGTAAAGAAAAAAACAATATTCAAAAAAGAAAAATCTTGGAGGGAGAGAAAGGAATCCAAGTGTTTTTAAAATGGAGAAACTGTAAAACTCCGGCCAAGAATATACTAGTAAAACTGGAAAATTAACGAAAATCAAAGAATTTGGACTTGGATGTAACGATAAATGTAACAAAAAATAAAAATCGAAATTATCTGAAAATTATAGTCAATTTATTTAATAATTTTTGGGAAATGGCTGATTATGACAAACAGAGCAAATTTTTATGTAGATATATTCTCAGACCAGAGAGACAGGTTGCAAAGTTAAAAGAGTCCAGAAAAAACTGGACATATAAATATAATTTGAATTTTGCAGAACACCGACTCAAGATTGTAAAAAAACATTTTTGGACACTTTTAACATAACAGATATGTGGCTAACTACGCTATCCAAAAAAATTGATAGTCAGGAAGGTCGAGGCTCTCTACCTGGAAAAATGCCCGGTCGCCACACGAACAGAGTAAATGCTGTAGATGAAAATATTAAAAATTCCATTCGTGCGTATATAAACACTATTCCAGCAAAAGAATCCCACTTCGCAAGAAAATAACAACTAAGATGTACTTCTACAACAACTTCTCCTTCGGGACGACATAGTACTGAAGGATTACCACTGATAAACTTTTTTTTTTCATATTTTTTGAGGTGGGTGGGAAATCTTCGTAAGATA